AAAAAATGGACATTGAAGTGAGTGAAAATATACAAAAAAAAAATGAGATCGGAAAAAATGATCAATAGCTTAAAAGAAGATATGAATAATATTTTTTTTTCATTTAAGAAGTAGTTAATTGTATTATTACAATAATTGTATTATACAACAACTCATTACAAATATTATATTTGTAATAAGTTTAAGATTAGTTATAAGATGTATTAGTTTCTAAGTTTCTAAAAATAAATTTATTTTTCTAGGTCTTTCTTTTATTTATTAAATTTGAATTATTAGAATTATTATTAAGTATTTGAATACACATACATCATTCTCAGGTTATACAAGGTGGAATAGGAAACGTCACCGTTTAAATAACTGATACTAAAGTTTAAAAAAAAATTACAATTTATATGAGGTATACATAGATTGTCCTTACATTATGCAATTATCACAACAAAGAACATATCCTGCTGATTTTAGTAATGTAACCACAATAATGTATATTATAGTTTATAAGTTTTACTTATAATAATTAAGGTGTAGGTGGCACAGGGTACTTCACAAACCGAAATCATTTGGTATAGCCGGAATAATTGTAAACTGGAATAACTGGTCTAATTGGTGTCTCCCATCAAAACCGTCACCTTGGTCACAAACCGGAAGAATGTTAAGGTTAAAGGTCAATGGTGAAAGATCAAGTGTTAAAGGTTAAGGGTCAAAGATTAAGTGTTAATGGTCAAGGGTTAAAGGTTGGTCAAATGGTCCCACCACAATTTGCACCAGGAATGGTATAGGATAGAGTATGTGTCAATAAATAGTTTGGAGATATCCTTATGTGTACAATTATTGTAATTATTGAACATCTTAACTTATTTTCGTCCAGTAATTTCATCACAGAATGCATACAAATCCCATTTAACTTTAACAAGAATTCAAATTCTACTCTCCAATGACGGCATGCGCGAACACGACCGATTTTGGGCTACGGGAAGATCCTATCTTGTTATTCATAGTATCATGATAAGAAGATAAGATATTGCGCATAAGTCGTGACGTCATTGGAGAGTTTGACGTTCGAAATATCAGTTTTTTGTATGTATCAATAAATAATCTTTAATAAATACACTTCATCTAATTTATATAACGATGCACGTCATCGGCGTCATAGCCTGTGACGTCATATGATACCAACACGAAATATTTAGGGTTTAGGTGTGTTCTTTTTAGAATCACTTTACCGAGTACACTGGCATTACAGCCACTAGACATATTTTATTATATACGCGTTGAAATAATATGTAAAAATTTCTATTAATGTTAACTTAAATTCAACACAATAATATGTTTCATTTAATTTGTATAAATCCATTATAAAGAGTTTTTATCAAGAACATTTGTTCGGAACACACTGTAACTGTAATCGAACGAAGGTAAAATTTTGCAAAAATTGGTAACACTTATTTGACAGTTGCGGTGTTGACACTTTTTGTACTTTATAATTTTAAAGTGAATACCTCTTGTTTTATATTTTTACCTATTTAATAAAATCTGTTCTTTTTAGAACAAAATTAGTGTATTTTATTTCAAAAATGTCACGTAAGAATTTAAATAGTCGTTGTAAAGAGATGGTAATACTTTTGCAATAATTATGTGACCTATTTGATTTAAAATGGAGTCAGGATTTTTTTATACTTTGGCAACTATGTCAACTTCGATCTCTGACGTAGATAATGACGTAAGTCGTTATCTAAATTAGATGAAGTATAGTTTGAAGATATTCTTATGTGTACGATTATTGTAATTCTAAACCTCTTAACTTATTTTCGTCTAGTAATTTCATCACAGAATGCATGCAAATCCCAATTAACTTTAACAAAAATTCAAATTCTACTCTCCAATGACGGCATGCGCGAACACGACCTATTTTGTGCTACGGGAAGATCCTATCTTGTTATTATAGTATCATGTGTGTAACCTTGTATTTATAGATTTATACCTAAGAGATCAAATGACAAAATGATTTGTTTTCCCGAAGTGATCGTCCATCTTCAAAATCTTAAGTGCTCCCTGTCGGAATTGGCCATCGAGCAAAAAGATAAAAGAGGGAATGTAAAGCTGGATTTATAGTTTGACGGACTGTAGACGCAGACGCACTGGAAAAAGATCAACATAGACTTTTGTGTACTCTTATTTATAAATGAACGTAAACGCAAGACGGGACGTAAGCGAAACGCACTGTAACGGAAGAGTTGGTCAACTTTCAACTTTTACAGTGCGTTACTTGCGTCTGGCCAATCAAAAGGAAGAATTTTGTGCTGTCAACCAAAATGAACTGTCTGGCACGCCCACAATTTTGTAAAGTTGCTTATTAACATAGTCGAATTTTTATTTTGTTGATTATTTGTTACAATGGAGGTTAAAGCTGGATTTATAGTTTGACGGACTGTAGACGCAGACGCACTGGAAAAAGATCAACATAGACTTTTGTGTACTCCTATTTATAAATGAACGTAAACGCAAGACGGGACGTAAGCGAAACGCACTGTAACGGAAGAGTTGGTCAACTTTCAACTTTTACAGTGCGTTTCTTACGTCTGACCAATCTAAAGAAAGAATGGGTTATGTTCATTACACCAATATTGAAATATGCCAAAAATTGATCTGGATCTTCTGTCTTCATCTTTAAAAAATAATTATAAGCATTCTCTATTTTTCTATTACGGTTTATTGGTCTTGTTTTATAACGTCTTGGTCGCCTTATTATTGTCCTTCTAGTTTTTTGCAATGCTACTGCACACAGCACAGCAGCAATCCTACAGCGCCAAGGAGCATACCTTTGTATATTTCACAATCCATTCTAACACGCAAAAAGGATAAAAAAATATTATTATAAACAATAGTATAAACACACACCCTTTGTTTATTATGAATTCTGATTCCTATAATTGTATAATTTATAGGTTATATTGAATGTTGTGGGTCACCAATTCTTGTCTTTACTCATGCGCAAAAATTCCACTACGTCCATTTATAAATTGAAAAAATATTTACAGTCCGTTTCTTACGTCTCCAGTGCGTCTACGTCTACAGTACGTCAAACTATAAATCCAGCTTAAGAATTTATAAAATAATAATAATAAATAATAAAATGATATTATAATATCATGGTCACCAACTCTAGCCGCTGTTTCTACTCATGCGCAAAAATTCCACTCCGTCGATTTATAAATTGAGATTATATTTACAGTCCGTTTGTTACGTCTCCAGTACGTCTACGTCTACAGTGCGTCAAACTATAAATCCAGCTTAAAGGTAGTGGGTACAAAAATATTGTTAGACAGGAAGTGCTATCTTGAGAGGCCACTTTAAACAAGGAAAGACAGTCTCTTTCCTTGTTTAAGAAGTCAAATTTAGTTTGGTTATGTTATTGTTTGTCCCATCGAGCAAAAAGATAAAAGAGGGAATCTAATCGTTATGAAAAGGAGACCAAAAAAGTGGCCTCTGATGGCGGACATATCCGGAAATGCAAAGGCGCTAAATTTAAATTTTCCAACACTTATTAACAATAGCTATAAAATATTTTTCAGACGAGAAAGTTTTAATTAAATATTAACTATAATAGTCTAAAAAGTGACACAATTGGTAAAAGATTTCAATATAAATAAAATTTCATGTGACAGTTGGGACAAACAATAACATAACCTAACTAAATTTGACTTCTTAAACAAGGAAAGAGACTGTCTATCCTTGTCTAAAGTGGCCTCTCAAGATGGCACTTCCTGTCTATCAATATGTTTACCCCCACTACCTTTACATTCCCTCTTTTGTCTTATTGCTCGATGGTTTGTCCCAACTGTCACATGAAATTTTATTTATATTGAAGTTTTTTTACCAATTATGTCACTTTTTAGACTATTATCGTTAATATTTAATTAAAACTTTCTAGTCTGAAAAATATTTTATAGCTACTGTTAACAAATGTTGGAAAATTTAAATTTAGCGCCTTTGCATTTCCGGATATGTCCGCCATCAGAGGCCACTTTTTTGGTCTCCTTTTCATAACCATTAGATTCCCTCTTTTATCTTTTTGCTCGATGGAATTGGCCAATGATATTATACGTCATTGGAATTGGCTTGGCTATCGCGAATAGACAACTGACGCGCTGAAAAATGACAGATGACAGTTTGGACGAGTTTGCCGCGTGTTTGGTTATGTCAGTGTTGTTAACTCTACGGATTTATCTGTAGATCTACGGATTTTCGAAATTATTTAGGATTTTCGGATATCGATCACATTTCTACGGATTTTTCAGCTGAAGCAATCAAGAATAAAATTGGGATTTTTTACTCTTAGCTTTTTATAAAAATAGAATTTTTACTCTTAGCTTTTTACAGAAATAGACATATTAATCAAATAATTAATTGACATCTAGTCTTCGTTCTCTGTAATGCCGTGAAAAAGAACTCTACTTGTAGTGTAATAGTAGGAGTAGGGATGAATTTCAATTTTCGTAACAGGTGAATCCCCGGCGCTTAGGGGAATAACAGTGATCTCAGATGGAATGCTGAGATTTACATTGGGGACTCCCGTCCTAACATAAATACGAGATCTACTTTAACGATGCAGACAAAATATATTTTATTTAAACAATAGATAAAAATGTCATTATTAATATGGAAAGTAAAATTTTATACGATCATAAAAAAGTATTGTCATCATCCGAGGAAGAGGATAAGGCTTAATACATTAATTTTTGCTTTTATTCGGTTAGATAGGTATTTGTTTTTTCTGTATATTTTTTATTTAGTATATCTTTCTGTATATTTTTTATATCTGGTTTTTTTATTTTTCTTGGAATATGAATGTTTCTGTTTAGATATATTTTGTCAAATAAATTTGTTGCATAAACAAGTATGTATGTACTTAGTAAATTATTGAAACACCGTACACCTCGAGTCATGTAGCATACATTTTTTTCCATTTAAATTTTCAATTGAATTGATCCCTCAATGTATGCAGTCAGTGTTGCATCGTCGTTCGTCATATTGTGGGCATTGTGGCTGAGACACACATACAAATTGCTATGTTTCTGTTCTACGGATTTCTACGGATTTTTGAAGCGCCCTCTACGGAAATATTTAGTTTTGGAGTTAACAACACTGGGTTATGTTGAGTCTGAGTGAGTCGCCGAACAACGTTAAGTACCCCTTGCTCTAAAGCAAGATTATTTTGTGAGTAATGGAATTTAAAGTTAAGGAAGAGTTTTTTGAATATGACCATAGTTTAGACAATGAAGATGTGATTCTACCTTCATCATCTAAGGACCAAAGATATGTAAACAATCAGCTATCTATATCCATCGATCTTGAAGACTTAAAGAATGAGCCAGAGGAAGAAAAGTCAGGTAAGATAAGTAAACAATAGTACTAAACAATGTAATATAATGAGTATTTATTAGCTATGGAAGTAAAAATTGAAACTGAAGAGTTTTTTGAAGGCGTCCAAAAAACTACAGAAAACCAACTATCCACAGCTCTAGATCTTGCAGATTTCAAGAATGAATCACATGAAGACAACTCAGGTGAGAAAAGTAATAAAAATAAATAGCTTAGTGTAACCTTAAAATAATAAAATATCCATGATTTTTACTGTAGTGTGTAAAAATCCAGGTTTTAAAATTGCCATAATTCATACATTCTCTAAATCAATAAGTCAAATATTCTAAGCACAAAGTTAATTATGATGTATATGCCACATTAAAGAGGTTCAGAAACTGTTAGTTAATTATTATTTTGTATGAGATTAAATCATTATTTGCAGTAATGAGAATTACATTTGTTTTGACATTTCAATTTCCAATTTGGAAATTATTTTCAACAAAATTCTAAATTAAACAAAATCTAATAATTTTAACATTTAACATTTTTTAAAAAATATTGTGTGCAGTCAATATCCCAACCACACACAATCTTATAGTATAGGATTTTTCTTTTAGCATGTTTGACTAAGATTAAACATGTTGTATATTGGAATGAACCACAGTTAATTGTAATAAAATTTGCAAATTTCTAGGTAGAATGCAGTACGATCTGGTTACCCATATTAAAAGAGGAAGTTAATAAAAACAAAATACCATTATTAATAAGTCAGTAACATATAGAGGATACATCATCATCATCATCTTGGTGCTACACTCCTTAGAGGGCCTCAAGCTTTCTACGCCATTCTGTTCTGTCCCTTGCTTGCATTTCCAGTTGCTGACTCTGATCTTCTTGGCATCTTATGTTACCCCGTCCATCCACCTCAGCTTTGGTCTACCCCGTCTTCTCATTCCCATGGGTGCGCTGTTAGAATCTTTTTTATCATGTTCAATTCAGGGGCCCGGGCTACATGTCCTGCCCACTGCAGGCGGTTTCGCTTAATTATAGTGGTAATATCTTTACCACCAAATGTATGCTTGTAGATATTCTGTAGTTCAAAGTGATATCTACACCTCCATATTCCGTTCTCACAGACCGCTCCGAATATCTTGCGTAGCACCTTTCTTTCAAACATTGATAGAGCGGATTCACCAGTTTTAGTTAGCATCCATGCCTCTGATATATATGTGAGAATGGGGACTATCAGTGTTTTCTATACAACCTTATACGAGTTTTTTGAGATAGACGTTTGTTAGCTAAGTACTTTGATAGACCATGATAACCCAGCCTGATGTTCTCCTAGAAACGTTTCGGTATAAAGCTTCAATCTCTCGCGCAAAATGTTTGACAATATCTTGTATGCTGTATTTAGGAGAGTTATTCCGAGGTAATTATTGTGTTCCAGTTGGTTTCCCTTTCCCTGTTTTTTAAATAACATACATATAAAATCAGAATTTGGTGTTTATTGAGAGTAAACTAAATGTAAGACCAAATACTTACCATGATGAAATAGTATTATGAGGTTTTTTCCTCGTGATTTGCAAATGTTATACCCTCAGTTAATATCAAATTCTAATCTTTCTGTGCTGTGTTGAACTTACATATTGTAAACTCATTAGTGTTGGTATATACTTTACTGTTAACTTCAAATATCACAGCTTGCTACACAATTTGCATTTAGTAAGATGAGGGTGGCATCCTTAATTTTCCTTTTTTTCTCTATCTCTGTTGAATTACCAAAATCTCTGCTGGTAATGCTCATTTATATTAACACTTAGTGGTTATAATATTTCATCCAGATAAAAATTATTACATTGACAAGATATTTTATAAATGCAGTTCTTTGATCTTTCCTGTAATTTGAGGCTCAGATTTGAGTTATCTTTCCATGAAGGGACAAATGGGAGTTGAATAAAAGAATTTCATAATGGCAGATCACTGGTATACAGAGGGCTCTAAAGACCAATGAAGGAGTTGTAGCTGGAGGGTATCGGGGAAAACCAAGGTTGAGTCTTAGTGAAAAGGTAGGTAATCACTCCACTATCTTCCAGTCAGGAAATCAAAATAAGAATAGAAAAGGCTAAGGCTAGAGCAAATTTCAACAAAATGAGAAGAGTGCTATGTACCAGGGATTTAAAATTGGAACTAGAGAGTTAGGTTGGTGAGGTGCTATGTTTTTTCGACTTTATTTTATGGAATTGAATCTCAGACCTTAAATGTGACATCAATAAAAAAACTGGAATCATTTGAGCTGTGGGTGTACAGAAGAATACTGAAAATATTGTGGACAGAACATGTTACAAACAAAGAGGTTCTGGGAAGGACGAACAAAGAAATGGAAATTTTAAATACAATAAAAACAAGAAAATTAGAATATCTCGGACATATTACACGTGGAGAGAAATACACCTTGCTCCAACTAATTATACAGGGAAAGATCCAAGGCAAGAGAAGCATAGGGAGGCGTAGAATGTCATGGCTGCGCAATCTGAGAGAGTGGTACTGATGTACATCAAATGAACTTTTCAGACCAGTCATCTCAAAAGTCCAAATAGCTATGATGATTGCCGACCTCCGCCGCGGAGACGGCACTTGAAGAAGAAGAAGATCTTCCAAGTGGAAATTTTTGCTATGTGTGTGCAGGAACTAAAAAAGAGAAATTGCATGATACATCTATAAAAGTTATATCAGATAGCCAGCAGCATAAAGGTGTAGAAAATCATATTGAATTGACTCCAAGTTAGTTTGGAACTGTCTTAAGAATCTGATTTGGATCAAATCAGATTCTTAAGACAGTTCCAAACTAACTTGGAGTCAATCAAAGTGACAAAGTAGAAAGTAAGTTTAATCTGGGTACCTGGACATACTGGTATTGAAAGGACAAAAAGCTGGTCTACTTGCTAGGAGAGGAACAAAAGAAATATTCATAAGTCCAGGTGCTCTTGTTGACATAGTAGGAAGCACAGCCAAAAGAATGATATCAGATTGGGTGGAACAGTATGAACTTCGAAAATAAGGCTATTATCGAGCACAAGTTAATTAAATCTAGCCCAAGTACTTTAGCTTAAAATAGCATCTTCAGGTGCATTTCGTCAAAATGTAAACTATCCGGCAAGCGTAGAATGTGGAAACATTAAAAATAACATAAAATTATACAAAACACTACACTAAAATGAGGACAAACAGTTTAAAATTACTTAAAGATTCTATGCTACGCTAGATAAAATTTATCCCTCCAGATACTGACAGAGAATGTAGCATAGAATCTTTAAGTAATTTTAAACTGTTTGTCCTCGTTTTAGTGTAGTGTTTTGTATAATTTTATGTTATTTTTAATGTTTCCACATTCTACGCTTGCCGGATAGTTTACATTTTGACGAAATGCCCCTGAAGATGCTATTTTAAGCGAAAGTACTTGGGCTAGATTTAATTAACTTGTGCTTGATAATAGCCTTATTTTCAAAGTTCATTTATTCGAGCATTCAACCTCATTTCATTTATTATATATGAATAGGAATGATTTGCAAATTATTGTTGGTCTCCTAATAGGTTACTTTTGTCTCAAGGTGAATATGAGTAAAATCTGTTAATAAAATTTTGTCAAGCTGAAGATGAAACTTCAGAACACTTTCTCTGCAACTGCCCAGGGTTGGATAGGATAAGGGTCAATAAATTTGGGCATTATGAACTAGACTTTGTTAAAAAGACTGGGCTGAAAGGACAATCTTAACCTAGAGATGAGCTGTGATAGCCTTCTTAGATGTAGGAGACTGGTGTTTAGGCACTCATTCATATTGAACCTAACCTAATGTATGGCATTATTGTTCTTTTTGATTTACTTCTTGTTAGTGTTTCAGAATATTTTTTAATGTTTTTTAAATTAATGTAAATGTAATGTTTCATTTCTTATGTCTTCTGAAATTCCTTGTTTATAAGTGACAATGAATATTTTTTATTAGAATAGATGTCATTAAGAATTGCCACTCATAGACACTTCTGGTGCTGCCTTATTTCAATAATTGTTCTTCTTTTCTTCACTTTCATATTCTTAACATCCTATAATTCTTTCCATACTGTATACCCTTCGTTAAATAGAGTTACAAGAAATATAACAAAGGGGAAAAAGTAAACACAATTTAATATGTTTTACATCTTTGAATCTAATTAAATGTCAAAAAAATTTACAACTTTAGGGCAGTGTTTTTCAATAAATTAAACTAAAGAGAATAGATGATTTAAATGGCAAAAAAACCAATTCTTAATTCATACACGCTTATTAAATAATTGATATTAGTGTTAATAATTTTACTAGAGTGCAGAGATATTTCATAATTGTTTTCTTTTTTAAATTAATTCATAACAAAAATAAATCCATATTTTTGTCCAGTAGTAGAAATAGCTTCTTAATTTTCATCATGTTTTTACTTACCCCTAGTCTCTGCATAAACAAATTTTTACTTTGGTTTTTATTTTAGATTTTTCCCAGAAAAACAGTGAGGAAATTATGGAAGGAATACCTGACCACTTATGTAATAAAAAAGAAGAAATAAGTCTATACTCTGAAGAGACAACTTTAAAAAATTTAGCTTTTTCTAAATCCTACAAGTGTGACATTTGTTATAAGCAGTTTTCTCTCAAAAGTAATATGAACAGACATATGAGAGTGCACTCTGGAGAAAAACCTTACAAGTGTGAAATTTGTTTTAAGCCGTTTTCTCAGAAAGATCATATTAAATCTCATATGAGATTGCACACTGACGAAACTCCTTACAAGTGTGAAATTTGTTTTCAGCAGTTTACTTACTCTATTAGTTTGAAAAGACATTTGAGAGTGCACACTGGAGAAACACCTTATAAATGTGAAATATGTTTTAAGCATCTTACTGAAGCAAGTACTTTAAGAAAACATATGAGAATTCACACCGGAGAAAAACCTTACAAGTGTGAAATTTGTTTAAAGCAGTTTATTGAATCAACTGCATTAAAACTACATTTTAGAATTCACACAGGAGAAAAACCTTTTAAGTGTGAAATTTGTTTTAAGCATTTTCAACGAAAGCCATATTTAAAGAAACATATGAGAGAGCATACTGGATAAAACCTGATAAATGTGAAATTGGTTGTAAACAGTTTACTCAAATAAGTACTTTAAGTGTGTTTTAAGAAGTTTTCTCATAAAAATTCATTAAATAAACATATGAAAATTCACACTTGAGAAAACCCTTACAATTATAGATAATGCCTTCTACTACAATGTAGAGATGGATCCTAGCCCAAATTTTTCATGGAAAAAAGCAACCATGCATCAATGACTAATAGAACGAGATATTTCATTTCACCCATGCTTTAAAAGTTGAATTGTATGCATTTATTATTAAAAACCATAAACTTATAAAAGATATATTGTTGACTTGTTTGTAGTGGAACTTGACATTTTGACATTGCATATACCACCTTACTACCCAGAGCTGAACCCCATTGCAACAATATGGACACCAGTAAATAATAAAGTAGCAGCCTGTAATGTCTTATTCAAATTAGAGCACATTATGGATCAGGTGCAAAATTTAATAATTGATATTTGAGAAGATACCAGTGAGAGTGAATCAGAACTGTCTCACAATGAATCAGAATACGATAATTTAGGTTGTCAATAATTACAATATATATATATATATATATATATATATATATATATATATATATATATATATATATATATATATATATATATATATATAGCCGTTTAGAAAATCCACAAGCTCTAATGTGATTCTTCGAATTTCATAAAGTAAATTACAGAAATAAATACATTTTTAAGAATATCTGTGTTTTATTTTGTTATTTTCAAGACTTTGTGTTTTATTGTAATGGAAAACAGATGTAGTCATAAAATAATAAATAAAAACTTATCCTATACAGAAACATTTATGTCTCTCTATCTGATACGTTATAGATTTATGGTATGTAAAATTGCATAAGTGTGTACTACATTTTCGGACAACACGAATATATTTTTTGACATAGATTAAGTTTTTATTTGTTATTTTATGGTTATATTTATTTTGAATTCAAAATTCGAAACATTTTGAATTTGCCATCTAAAGTTCTGGAAAATCCTTTTTGAATTTCCCATCTAAAATTCAGAACCTATATTTTGAATTTGTCGCCAAATGTTTTAGTTGTGATTGCATCTATATTTGGCGTTAGAAACTCTCGCTACGCGTTCTATCGCACTTTTAATTTAGATTTTTTTTTGAAAAATATTGTGTATGCAGTCAATCTCCCAACCACACACAATCTTATAGAATAGGATTTTCTTGTGCCAGGTTTGATTGAACATTTTGTATATTCTAAGAGATCTAAATATGTACTGCCGTCCTAACATGAAAGGTCCTATCTGCAAAATTTAAGTTTTGAAATCCAGTTTTTGTTTCTTTTTATTGTAACGCTTGGTAATTTAAGAAAATCTTGTATGTTTTATTTTATATATTATGTCGGAGAATTGCTAATCATAATTTTGATTTATAACATTGTTTTGGCGTATCTTAGAAAATATAATGACAATTTAGCAACAAAAATATATGGCTTGTACAAACAGTATCATCAAAATATGTAAAAATTAGTGATAACTAAATAGTGGGATAGTATGAAATAACTGCTCAAAACCAATAAACAAGATAAGTCAGATGCTGCGAAAACAGTACAGTGGGATACTACAACAAACGTCTTTATATTCTATAGTCAATTTCATTTTAATATTTCTAATCATGAATAAATACTCATAAGGCAAGTTGGAGCAAAATGGAATGATGAATTCTGAACCAATGATTGAAAACTGATTTGACATTGAAATCTGAAAACTGATCCAATTCTGAACGAATAAAGGATCGACTTCCTTCTGCTCCATTTCCGTATTTTCTAGGCTATGTTACTGTAAGCTGTAATATGGGCTATACATATGCTTTTGTAAAAAAAATATTACAAAATGATCACGAAACGTTTTTCAAACGAAATAGTGCATGATTTTATGGCTCACATAGGGAAATACGGTGCTTTAAGAGGCAAAGAACGAAAATGAAGGAACTAATAAACCCCAACATAGCTCAGGATACATTAATTTACTATTAAAACAAGCTGTATCAGAGGAACCATAAAAGACGTTAGAAGCAGGTAGATCCGAAAAAAGTTAATGTAAACACGCAGAAAGTTTACAACTACTTGAAAAGCTGCCTACTGCAGGTAACGGCAAGTGAAAGAAGAAACGTCGATTAACAGTATCACGATTCAAATTACTGTACTCTCGTGACGTTTCTACTATTATATTATTTATGTATACTTCATCTAATTTACATACCGATGCACGTCATAGCCCGTGACGTCACATGATACCAACACGAAGTATTTAGCCGGTAGGTGTGTTCTTTTTTGGAATCACTTGGCCGAGTACACTGGCATTACAGCTACTAGACTAATTTTATAATAAATTACATTTAATTTGTATAAATGCATTATAAAGCGTTTTTATGAAGAACATTTGTTCGGAACACACTGTACCTGTAATCGAACGAAGGTGAAATTTTGGCATAAATTGGTAACACTTAATTGCATCGTGCAAAAAGGCAATTGTCTTTTACTCGATGCTTATTTGGTTGTTGACACCTTTTGTACTTTATTATTTTGAGTTTTAAAGTGAATACCTCTTGTTTTATATTTTTACTTATTTAATAAAATCTGTGCTTTTTAGAACAAAATTATTGTGTTTTATTTCAAAAATGTCACGTAAGAATTTAAATAGTCGTTGTAAAGAGATGGTAATACTTTTGCAATAATCATGTGACCTATTTGATTTAAAATGGAGTCAGGATTTTTTTATACTTTGGCAACTACGTCAACTTCGATCTCTGTCAATGATAATGACGTGCATCGGTAAGTAAATTAGATGAAGTATATGTGCCTAATGTTCATTGGTTAGTATCAAGGTTAGTAGATATTTAAGTACTTAAATACCTACTAACCTTGGGTTATTATAATAAAAAAATAGGAGTAAATAGACAACTATTGCAAGTCTAATTTATTCTGTGCTGTGACCGTGCCATGATACCAACATCCGTCACAGATACAAGAAGAAGTGTCACCACACAAAGGAAACAGAAGATAAATGTTTATGATTTTTGGCGCCTATTCATAACCTAACTTTATAACAATGTCAATTTCAAATTTCATTTTACAAGTACTTACAACTTACTTATCTCTGCAAGTATAGAAGTACCTATTACCTACTCTTTTCTATGACAAGTACAAAAATAAAAGCTAAATATATTTGAAAGTTTTTCCCATTTTATATTTACTTAATCATGGCTACAGTTACAATTAGGGGTGTTCCAATTTCTTTTCCATTTGAACCATACGATATACAAAAGGAATACATGGATAAAGTATTAGAATGTTTACAAAACGAAACGAATGGAGTGCTTGAATCGCCAACAGGAACTGGAAAAACTTTATCCTTATTATGTTCAACTTTAGCATGGTTACAGCTAAAAAAAGCTCAGGTTCAAGCACAAAGACAAATCTCCATGCAAGAAAACGAAAACGATTTTTTAGCAACTATCAACAGTAAACTAAACGAAATTGCGGGGAAACAAATTAGTTCAAGAGCTCTTTCTGGAATTCCTACAGTAATTTATGCTTCTCGCACACATTCCCAGCTCAGTCAAGCTATGCAAGAAATGAAGAAAACAGCTTATAGTCATATGAAAGCTATTGTTCTAGGTTCAAGGGATCAGTTGTGTATTCATCCAGAAGTTGAAAAGGAAGAAAATAGAAATTTTAAAGTAAATTCATAATTTTTTACTTTATACATGATCAAAAGTAAAATAATGTCTGTACATCTTTTTGACCTAACATTAAATTTTTTTATGTTTCTTTGATGACTTTGGTAATATATATTCAAGTTATGCAATAAACAATGTAAAAGGCAACAAACAGTTGAATTAGAAGTTAGTGTCTATGTTATAGTTTTGTAATTAAGTTAATTTCATCTTAAATTATAAGATTAGATATATTCAAAATCCAGAGTTATTGAATGTAATAACTTTTAATGTTAATACTAGAAGAAGTCGTAAAACTGAGATTTTCAACATTCTGTTTTATACTACACACTATGGTCAAAATAAACCATTACAAGAATTCTAAGAATTGCCAATGAGCACAGTAATAAATCAGTTAAAGTTTTGAACTTATGCTTTGTATATGTTGATGTTATTGTTTTGTAAAAAATGGTTTATCTATAAATAAATAAATTTTTGTTTCCAGATTATGATGTGTCGTTTGAAAAGAAAAACAAGATCTTGCAAATTTTTTAATAAAGTGGAAGCAAGTGCTCAAAATAAGAATGTATTGGATATCAATGTCATGGATATTGAAGATCTTATTAAACTTGGCAAATGTAATGGTTTTTGTCCATTTTATATGTCAAAGGAATTAAAAGATCAAGCAGATATAATATTTATGCCATATAACTACTTAATAGATCCTTCAATAAGAACAAGGTTAGGTAAGGAAAGCTTTTTATGTTTAAGCCAAGTCTATATTATTCTCTCTCCCTATTTATAAATTTGTTATTTTAATGACCAAATTGCATCTATCCTCTCAAATTTATGTATACAGTGTTTCCAGAGGCGCCGAAGAGTTTGTTCTAAAACCCCATAAAATGAAATAAAAATCAAGTTTTTCAATACCTGCTTAATTTTATACCTAGTCAGTTTTATGTAAATCACAATTAGTTTTTGCACTATATTTGAATTTGTGATAATAATCTAGTGAGTCTATAAAGTAAGTAATTACCAACTCCACTAAATAGAATTAAAATTGTCATTCTTTTTTAACAGTATTAACTTCACCAAAGAATATAAATGCTAAGGTTTTGGGGCTGTTTCCTATAAGTATGCAATTCAAATATTTAATGAAAAATATCCAGACATATTTGTTATGTAGAATGGTTTGAACAGATATTAAAGAACTTCAATAAGACAGGATCTATTAAAGATAAAAAAATAAAAAAAAAACTATACAATGAAGACAATGATGCAACTAATGCCTTAGCTATGCATTCACAAAGTTTCATCCCAAAATTGTCAGTTTTGGGCTAGTGAAAATCATGATTACATGATTCAACATGTTGGTCAATTTGCTGAAAAAGTAAATGTTTGGTGTGTTATCTTACCAGAATGAATAATCAGACTATATCTTCTTGGGACGAGTTTAAATCAGGAAAATATATTTGAATTTGTTGGAACACCTTTTTGGACAATAGTGGAATTAGATAGCCTTCCATTGAAGCAAAGGCATCAAGTGTATTTTTGACATGATGATTATTCATCAAATTTGACTTAACTGATATCAGGATATTTTCCTGATACATCGATAAGGCAGTATAGGCTGATATTTTTCCATCCAAATCACCTGATTGAACAATTTTGTTGAATTTTTTTATGGGGATTTAGAACAAACAATACTTTTTTATCAAGAATGACTTTGCTAGAAATTAAAATAAAAAAGTCTCTCCTCTTGGATAGGCCATCTGTGGACACACACACTTATATAGGGTTGGACAAAAGTATTAAAATAAAATTAATTTAAGTTAAAAGATTTTGAAATACTCGACTTAAGACCTACAGAATTTTTCGAATCGTTATACTACAGTTGATATTTTTCCATTTTTATCAATTCATTAACCACGAACCTAAAACTCCAAAGATTTCTATTGACGAAACCAAAATCCATAATTTTGCTTTAATCTGTGCCTTCTAAGAATTGCAAGGCAAAACAGATGTTGTTAAAGATGTAAAGAAAGAAATGGGAATCTAAAATTGCATTTGACAACATATCTCCTCAACTAAGCAAAGATCCTTGTCGAAATGGTTTCTTGTACTTATAAAGATATTAAAATAAAAGGAAAGACAGTTAAGATTTGATTTCACATATAGTGCCTCGGTATATTGGCTTATACATATTTCATCCTAATAGGAATCATCAAAGCAATTATTTACAGAAGTTCTGAACGTGAAAACAATCTTTCCTGTCGAAAAGGAAGCAACAATAAAATGGCTTCAGTATGGACGCTACAGCGACATCTGATAATAAATCACGAAACTAGAAATCCGAAGATTTCTATTGACGAAACCAAAATCCAGATTTTTGCTTTAATCTGTGCCTTATAACATTTGCAAGGCAAAACAGGCGTTGCTAAAGATGTAAAGAGAGAAATGACGAATCTAAAATTGCATTCCACAACATATCTTCTCAACTAAGCTAATGCTTATTCCATACAGGTTTTATTTTCTGTTTTCAGCAACAATTTTTTGTTCCACATCCAACGTAGACTTATTTTATTTAGTTTTTCCATTTCTGAAGTGAATTTTTCAGCAATTTGAGATTGTCTTAATTTGTACTTTATTTGTCTTTATTTCTTGTTCTTGCAGCAGATACGATCCTATTTTGATTATATGATAATTTTTCTTTCACAGGAATTAATTTATCAAATACAGTGGTGATACTTGATGAAGCTCATAATGTCGAAAGACTTTGTGAAGAGTCAGCTTCTCTTCAAATAAAGTCGTCAGATGTTGCATTGGCGATTGACGAAGTGACAGCTATTATGAAAATGTTATCGTCAGAAGAAACATTGCAATTTGACGACACACCTAAAGATTTTGACGCTAATGATCTATGTAACCTTAAAGAAGTGTTCTTAAATCTAGAACAAGCTATAGATAAAATTGATTTATCAACTGGACCAAATTCTGAGGTGACGCTTGATGGTACATTTATATTTGAGTTATTAGCAGAAGCTGGAGTAAGTATATTTTAAATCATTTTGGTATTTAGTTTTGCATGTTTTATACTATTCTAGTGATTCCACAATCATAATAGGCATTAAAAATATTTTCAAACAAAATTATACTAAGATAAATGAGATTTCATCGCTATTTTCTATTGTTGATATTAAATATATATACTATACTATATACGGATGTAACTACATCATAATCATCATCACATAGTGCTACAACACTGGGTGGGTCTTGGCTGACTGTACAACTTTTTTCCAATTTGTTCAGTCTTCCATCAAACTAGGGTCAAATGGAATGTTCATTTTCCGGAGATCTGCTTGGATGTTATCTCTCCATCGCATTCTGGGACATTCGAGTGGTCTTTTGCCTGTGGGAATCTCCTCCCATACCAGTTTTGCAAGTCTTTCATTATGCAGTCTGTGCACATGGCCTGTCCATCTTAGTCGCTGTGATTTAATTTCTTGGACAATATCGGCGTCGTTGTAGAGTGCTTTTAATTCGATATTGGTTCTGATCTTATACTGGTTTGTGGCGATGTCATAGTGAGGTAAGAAAATTTTTCTAAGTATTTTTTGTTCAAAGCGTCTGAGCTTTTCTTCGTTTGCTTTGGTCATGGTCCACGTTTCGCATCCGTATGTTATTACTGGTCTGACTATGGATTTATAGATTTTGATCTTTGAACTTCTTGTGAGATCTTTTGATTTTATGAGCTTATCCAGTGCAAATAGACAGCGGCTTGCAGATTGGATTCTGTCTTTTATTTCTTCAGTGACACCGTTGTCAGCTGTGATTACGGCCCCCAGATACTTAAAATGTTGTACTCTTTCGAAATTGAAGGTGTTGACCGTCACATTTTGTCCTATTCTGTCTCTTCGTGTTGTTCTATTTATATACATATATTTCGTCTTCTCTTCATTAATCTTCAACCCTACTTCACTTGTTGCTCCTTCCACCTTGTTGAAAATGTCTTTCGTGGATAGGATGGAGTCTCTAACGAGATCTATGTCATCTGTATATGCGAGTAGCAGCTTGGGACCTTGAACCAATAGCAATTCTGTTTTTATTTCAGCCGTCCTCATGGCTTTCTTTAATACAAGGTTAAAAAGTATTGGAGATAACGCATCACCCTGTTTAAGTCCACTGTTGATTTCAAAGCTGTCAGACAGTTTATTATTTACATATACTTTAGATATTCCACCATCCATACAGACTTTGGTCATCTGAATGAGTTTCTTTGGTATTGAGAACTCCGCCATGGCATTGCATATTTGGCTTCTTTCTACGCTATCATATGCCTGTCGAAAATCTACGAAAAGATTGTGTATGGATCTGTTATACTCCCATCACTTTTCTAGAAGTTGTCTCAGCATGAATAGTTAATGTATTGTTGATCTGTTTGCCCTAAACCCGGCTTGATATTCGATAAGGACATTTTCAGCATAAGGGATTAGTCTACTAAGAATGAGAGGGTTTTATATGTCGTGTTTAGAAGTGAGATTCCTCTATAATTCGCCCATTTTGTTTTGTCCCCTTTTTTGTGGATGGGCACTATTATGTTTTCCTTCCATCGTACTGGCATTCTTTCTTCTAACCATATATGCGTTATTAGCTGGTGGATTTGGCGATGTAGTGCGTCTCCTCCATATTTCAGAAGTTCTGCTGGTATCTCGTCCGTACCCGCCGCTTTGTGATTTTTCAGCTTATTTAAGGCCTTTTGGGTTTCTTCAAAGGAGGGATTTTTGACGGGTATGTCCGCTGTGATATAGATCTCTTCTTTGTGCTGTTCCTCCTGTATGATGTTTAGAAGGTCCCTAAAATACTTTTTCCATTCTTCAGTTACTTCTTTACTGTCGATTATCATACGGCCTTGATTGTCTCTCAGTGTATGGATGGAATTGGTTCTATGTCCTCTTTTCTCAGAGGAAATTGCTTTATAGAATTCTCTGGAGCCTGGTTTGGGCCGGTCTCTCTCCATAGCTTCATATTTTTGTTGTTCATAGTTTCTTTTCTTTGTGCGTATTATTTTTCTTGTTTCTTTTCGGCAGTCGTTATATTCCTTTTTACTTTGGCAGTTGTATCTAAGTCTTCCTTACTGTTTGTCTTTTTTCCAGCTGTTTCCGACATTCCTCGTCATACTATGTTTTTGCCCTCTTCTGCCTACTTCTTCCAAAGATCTTGTCCGCTGTCTTGGTTATTATTTCGGCAGTCGCTTCCCATAGATGTTCTATATCATTGTATTCTCTTTCAGAGTTCAAGGTTTGTTCAAATTATTCTCTATAGTTTTGTTGTTTCTCTGCATTGTGTATTTCGTCCATGTTCCATTGTAGATTTATTGTTGTTTTATTGCATTTGTGGCTAGATATTCTGGATTTGACTCTTGCTCTGACTAAGTAATGATCTGTGTCTCCGTCTATTCCTCTCGGGCTTCTTACGTCTATAATATTGTTACCATGACGGGCATCTATAATGATATGGTCAATTTGGTTGCGCATAATATGGTCGTTTGAGACAACATAGACGTAACTATGCCATCTAATACCAAAAAGAGAAATCATAAGATTTCTACCTGGCGAAATCGAATTCATATTTTTACCACTGCTCTTTCTAAAACTTGCAAAGCAAACAGCTTGATAAATTATATATAGTTATTTTGATAACTATTGTTTACGACGGGAATAGATTTTGTTTCGGTAGAGAGTGGTGGCCCTCCGTTCCGAAGAGACCTAAAGAGGTCGAAATACGTTTAAGCGGCTTGTCGCCACTCTGTATCGGAACAAAAATCTAGTACCGTCATTATGTTATATGTTACATTTAAATTTAGTTTGTTGATCTTTAAATATTTATTAACAGACTGTAATGCCGAATTCATTCTAGATACAGCATTTGCTAAGTTTGAATCAAAACATATAAGTAGGGTGTCATCTGCATATAAATTAAAGAAAACACACACACACACACACACACACACACACACACACACACACACACACACACAATCACGCGAGGCGATCAACCCTACCCCTAGGGACATGTGTATACCACTGTAAGAGTGGGATCCACATGTCCGAAAATCAAACCGGTTACACCTCACTAGTTGAGGTGGTACCTATCTGACCCCCAGGCTTTTCCTCCACCCCTCCTCAGCGTGTGACTTACGTGAGGAGGCTTATGATCTGAATGTTACGTAAGGTGTCTTGGGTAATGAGACACCTTCTGTTTTTAATGACTGTGGTTAGGCCACCTAACTGTAGGGGTAGCACACATGTCGGCTTTTCTCCCTATAGAAAGAAAGAATTAAAGAAAACACATTTAACAAATGAGGCTATATCGTTTAAATACAATATGAACAAAAGGGGTTTTAAGACACTACCTTGAGGTACCCCAATATTAACACTTAATTTCAGAAGAAGTAATATCATCAATTCTCAGTTGTTTTCTCATTAAGAACTTTGATAAAATGAAAGGCAGATATTGAGCACTGTTTTATTAATTAAATCTTGCCCAAGTACTTTCGCTTTCTAAAGCATCTTCAGGGGCATTTCGTCAAATTTTGGGCTATCCAACAATTGCAGAATGTCATAAACTTAAAATTAAACATACATTTGAACATAACACTACACTAATCAAGGACAAACAGTTTAAAATTATTTAAACAATAGTTTAAGCTACATTCTGGTCTGCAACATGAGAGAGAATGATATCTCCTTTTGAAGTAGGATTGATTGAAGTCTTTAATGTTTGGAGTATTCCATATAATTCTGCGGTGTAGATACTACAACTTTTAGGCAATCGCAGAGAGCTTATTGTCGTCGTCAGTGTGGACACAGCGGCGCCACAATAGTCTTCATTCTTGGAAGAATCGTTGTATAAAATTTCATCAAATTGTGTTAAGTTGAGGATGTTTTGGAAGGATTTCCTAAGGATTCAGTTTGGGATTTCTGCTTTGGAAAATTTGGAAATCCGTGGTAGTACGGATCTTCCGGAATTTATTTAATGCTTTTTTGGATTGTTTTACAGCTATTTTGCACGAAGCATGCCACCACGGAACAGGTTTCTTGGAAGTATCAATCGCGCATTTACCAATACATTCCTCGGCAGAATCAGTTAAACAGTTATTTAATAGTTTTACATCTGCATCTATATCATTGTTAAAAAGTAATTAATCCGTTTTTTCTAAAAAGATAACAGTTTGCTTGAGTGATTTTCCATTTTGTTATAATTCTTGAGGGCATTTTTGACTGGTCAGAGATGAGAATAGGAAAATTATTACCTGTTTAATGTGTACCATGGAAGTAAAGGAAATATTCCGGGATTACAGAAAGATAAATCTATGAAAGAGAAACTACCTGTTTGCATTTGAAAGTATGTACTACTTCCTGAATTGAGTGAGTTTATATTTACGGTATTCCAACACATTCCAAATGTTTTCGGAGCCCCACATAGTACTATGTGCATTAAAGTCACCTACTGAAATAAAAGGTGTAGGAAGCTGAGAAGTTAAATCTTCAAGATCGGAACTTATTAAACAGTAGTTTGGAGGAATGTATATGTAACAAATTGTAATTTTGTAAGGACACTAAACTGTAACGGCTATAGCTTCGAGGTTTGTGTTTAGCGGAAACTCTTTATGGAAAATATCAGTGGAAACAAAAATTGATGCTTCGCCACTGGCAGGTGGGTAGTTCGAATATAGTGGTAACCAGTAAAATTTTTAAGTTGTCCGGAATACTTATCATTGAAATTTGTTTCTTGTAGGCATATAAAGTCAGGAGAAGACTCAGCTATAAGCTGTTCAAGGCGTGGACGACGAGGATAAAATACATCACAGTTCCATTGTATCAGTGTGAAGTCAAATTAATATGTAGAGTGTTTGGATTTTTGCGAGGTTTGTGAACTATCAGACAGGTATTCTTTACACAAGCATCCTGGGAATTATCAAGACTGTTTATACTTTCAGAATCATCTGTTGCAGAATGTATTTTAGTTTTAATTTTTTTAATTAAGCGTATAATACTGATTTTTGTAGATCTTTCTTTAAAATTTGGGTTTATTGATTGCAAAGTTAGAATGAGGGATTTAATATCTGTTGTGAATTTAAATGCTTCTGAGACAGGGTCACAGCTGCTGTAAGCGTTCTCGATAAAGGCAATTATATTATCAGGAGGGATTGCAAAAGCTTCTGGGTTTTGTTTATAGGCTTTGTGTATTGCTTGCTTGGAGTCAGTGGATAGACTGAAGTCGAGAGAAGAACTACGTTTTCGTTTTTTTTTGTATTGGAGGGGTTAGAAGAACTAGGAACTGTTTGTTTGGGAGGAAACATTATTATTATTACATATTATTATTATATAAGCGAGGGCAGAGGAACTAAGTCCCTATTATGCCCAAAAACAAAGAAATTTCATTAATCACCTACTAGTAAATAACAAAAATTACAAATAAAAGAAATAAAATTACAATTTTTGGTTTAAAAGAAAAACAATATTTTAACTATAATATAAAACTGTCAAGTCTGTTTTTGAACGAGTTGGTAGAAGAAGCGGAGACAATGTTATCGTTGAGGTTATTCCAGCACTCAAAAACTCTATTTGGAAGAAAGTTCTGTCTTTGTCTTATAGAAAAGTTTTCTTTCTTTAGTTTATATTGATGACCTCTGAGGCGTTCATCTTGGTTTATGATAAATATTTCATCGAGGTTTCCAAAATTGAATTTTAGTATTTTGAATGTTGTAATTAAGTCTCCACGTTGTCGGCGAAGTTCAAAAGTAGTTAGGTTAGCCATACTAAGTCTTTCTGCATAAGACGGTCTTCTCGGTCCCAAAGAAATTCGAGTGGATTTTCTTTGAACGTTTTCCAACAGAGTCTTGTCTCGAACCAGATCGGGATACCACGTTGGTCCAGCGTATTCAAGTATGGGTCTTACGTACAGAGTGTAAAGTTTGCAAAATGATTGCATTGAAACTCCCGAAAAACACCTCCGAATAAGATACAGTCTGGAGTTTGCACGTTTACAAATAGAGGTAATATGATCGGACCAAGTAGGCTGCTGTTCACAATAACACCAAGATCGTTATACGAAAACACAGATTCTAATGGCTGCCCGTTAACATAGTTTGTTCTGTTGCGGGGTTTTCTCGAGACTGAGGGTTCTTATCGCTTATAGATGGTACAGATGAGCGTGGCCTCTTCTGTGAAAGTTGAGATGTTGAGAAGATAAACATAGTTTATCTGACTTTGCAGATATTGTATCATTTTCGCAATTCTCTGGGGAGGACGACATATAAAATAGATTTGTTTGGGAGAGAGACGGTTCAGAATGAGATGGAAATTGTGTATTCTGTTGCTGTAACGCTGATTCGGTGGGAGGACTGAGGTAATGAGAAAGATTAGGATTTCCAGATTTAAAATTGTCAGATGAAGTATTGAGACAATTAGAAGCAACAGAAAAATTCTATTATCATTGCCTTCAAAAGGAATTAACAACGAGGTGTGAAGCTCAAAATTATCAGAGGGAGGAAAAATATATACTTGATGGCGGAAGCTAAGGATGTGGGAGTATTCATCACCTGGAATGCCTGCTTTAAGAAAGGACACGGGGGAGGCTATTTGAAAACCAAGACTCTTCACTGCATTTTTGGCCAGTTCATGGGGAATGTAAGGAGAGATGTTCGAAATTAATATTATTTTTGTTGGGGAGACAAGTTTACGAATACTTATAATAATGCGTCCGATTTGAACGGTTGGGTTAGATTTCAGAAGTTGATCAACGAGATTTGAGTTCGCTAGATATATGCAGATCCTATTGTTAGATCTTCTGGATGCAAAGGAAATCTTTTCTGATCCGATGATATCACCAATGGCTTTAACGTAGTCCAGAAGTTTAAGGTTTTTTTCTGCGTGGAGAACTATCGTCTGTTCTTTTTTTGGAAAAGATTGTTTCGATGTAGATTCTGCAGCGGTTACGTATGAGAGAGATGTAGTTGCTGGAATGTTGTTTGTAGCGGTTTGAAGGGCCATGGTTAACGTAGAAACATAGGAGTATTGTTTATATTTGTACTGTTCATGTAGATACAGACAGTAACCTCGTTTTATATCTCTTCTTTGGTTTTGCTATCAAAATTTGTATTAAAATCCCATGAATTGGATGGCCAGCAAGAACCAGCAGACTGGTAAAACCAGTCTCTGGTATGTACTTTGTATAATTTAAATATAATTTATATGATTTAATAATATAATACAAGCAATACGTACAAAACTTGTACAAAACTTGTCTAGAAATCACTTTTCGAAATTCACTTCTAAATTAAGCACTAATTACTACCATTGCCATTACTACTAATTGGCACACGTCTTACTCGTTTGAATGCTAGAACAGGAATCAAATCTAATTTTTTAATACAAGCGAAGTATGTTTAGTTAAGAACAATTTATCAATGTAATAGATCAGACACACTGCAACAATTAAAATAAAGATCGTATGTGTTACCTCAATAATAACAGAAAATTCATTACTTTTCAACGCAAAAAGTAACCTGATCGAGTGCCGCCTCCTTCTATATTATTCAATGGAATGAATAATTTACAATTTAATATTACTTAAGTGATTTTTATATGCCACAATTGTTTTTTAAAAACTAATTTAACTGTTTTTTTTGTTGATACTCCGACTTGATTTTTAATATTTTCGTTTCAGATTCGTGCAGATAATTTCTTTATTATTCAAAAATTAATCTCGAGTATCGTTCAGTATTTAGTAACGGTAAACGATGGACCATTTGCTAGAAGAGGAAATAGTCTACAAATTTTTGAAGAAATTTTAGGGGTTGTTTTTATGGATTCTTCATCTGAATTTAAAGCTAAAGTCAAGAAATGTTACAAGGTATTTTTAATGTACTATATTAATAAAAATATTAGTTTTAGTAATATTATTAATACATAGTTCGTATTACTTTAGAATCGAATTGTTCAGGCCATGTTGCAAGGAAAACCGATGTATATTATAAATAAAGGGTAGACTCGTAGACTTTTCCATGTTGAAATTCAAGAAAAAACTACAAGTTCTTTTCCATCCTAGAAATATGACCTTTAACGGCAGTAAGTTCTATAGTCTCCCGATGAGTGACTGCATTGTCCCTCTTCCTTACTTGTTCTTGGCCCATTCTTTTTCCACGAGAAGCTAATTCAAATTCATTTATTGATGTTTTTTGCCAGTAGCCTAACACACGTCAAAATAAAAGCGGAACAATAGTTCTATTGAAAAATTTTAAATTCTAATTACATAAAAACAAATCAGATTGAGTTAAAATAGTTTAAAATTGAAGTTTCAGATATCCCTCACTACTATAAAATACATTTTTTATTAAAATTTCTTGAATTTTACTTTTAAATTGAATTGTGGGAAGATCCTTTTAGTTATCAGGCAATTTGGTATAAAACATAATAGCCCAATAACCTGCTCCAGTTGGACACCTCTGTAGCCTTCAGTCGGCTGGAACAAGATCACACCCGTATCTAGTATTATGATCGTGCACCTCTTCATTGGTCCCAAAGCAACCCCTGTTCCTCTTGACAAACATATGGTTTTCATAGATATATAAGGAGGGCACAGTAAGAATTCCCAGAGTCCCATAGGCCAATCTGCAATCGTCCCTAAACCCAATGCCTGCAAGAGCTCATATAGCCTTATGTTGCAAACCACAGGCTCTTGGCATTCCCGCCGAATGCCCACAGACCAAGATTGCATAACCAGAGTCCCATAAGACAATCTGCAATCGTCCCTAAACCCAAGGTCTGCATGAACTCTTATAGCCTTACGTTGCAAATCAAAGACTCTCGGTATTCCCGCCGAATGCCCACAGACCAAGATTGCATAAATATGTCAGATTAGAGTGAGGGATTATATGGTAAAAGTAGACAGAGCCCCGCTGCCGGAAAAAGACTAAGGAAGTCTGGGTGTTGCCCAATACCCAAGCGTCTTTTAACCTATTACCCAAAACTTTTATTGATTGTGAAATTATTGTATGTGTGATTTCAGTGTACCGTTTGTGTCTGATATAGGTTTAGCTGTTTAACTTTATAAAATTTTTGTTCCTTATTGAACATAAGGAATTATAATGATATTAAGAACTCAAACAACAAACTTTTGGATATGATTTGCTTTAGTTTTTTTCTATGAAGTTTCCACAGACATATATCCTCTAACCAGGAAGTGAGGTCATCACTCCGAATTATGGTTTTAGTTTTTCAAAAACTCTCGAGTACATGCTAACATATGGTTTTCAATAATGGGATAGTCCTTAAACTCATAACACAGCATTTCATGGATAATAAATTGCTATAGAATATACATGATTACATACCTAATATGAAGAAATAAGACGAAGTTCAAAGGTAACACATATAATTTAAAAAATTGTCATATTAAAATGGAACTGGGATGCACACATAGGAAGAATGAAAGGCAACCGATAAACAAATGAGGAACCTAGAAGTAAGGGGTATAAGTGACATTTTGTAAATATTTAGAAAAGTGCATCGCTGAACTGGAAATCTTTTATTCTTTTTGGAGGAAAAGAGATCTAAGCGATCAGGTGCTGCTTGCTAGCGGCAAGTTACCTAGCCTCCAAGACAACGATGAGTAGGGTTTGGAATAGAAGAGATACCAGAGAGAATCCAGTGGTACCTTTGTTCCACTGTATTGGATGGGTAGTGGTATAGCTCCTAAGTAATACTTTAATGTAAACTGCTGCGTTTTACGTTATTAGTTCGTTTTGTTTCTTTGCGTAGTACGGAGCCAGTGGTAGATGATTTACCTGCTAATGCTTTTTCACCACCAAAGAAAAGGATTCGGTGGCCAGATAAGTGGAAAAAAGGGCTAAAATAGCAAAAAATGCAGGTGAAGCTTACATGGGCAAAAACACAATTCTCATGAAGCTAATAAGTTACGAAAACTTGAAAATCATCATTGTTGGAATAAATGTACCAATACTATTTCACAAGAACAAGGTCTTTCAATATTTAAAGAGTATTGAGCATTGGGCACCGTATATAACTATATAATGTTCATAAAATTATTCGAAATTTACATTTTTTTAAATAACGTTACACCAATCTTGGTGTAACATTTTTCAAAAATGTAGCTGTTGGAAAAGCTGCTTTAAATAAATTGTATTTTTAGTTATACGTAAAGGCAGAGGAAGTAAAAAAGAAAACTCCAGATAATTGGCTTTCAAAAATGGTATCTACCAAATCAGGAGGAAAAATAATTAACTATTGGTGCTTTAGTGCAGGTTTTGGGTAAATATTCAGAATTTTTTTACAAACAATTCTCACTTTAAACCAAAAAAAAATTTTAAAGAAAAAAGATAAAAAAATATTTTTGGGAAAACTTTATTTGCCGTCTTTAAATTGATCAGAGTAAAACAACTGTAATGTTTTTAAATCAGTTCGTAACTGTTTTTGTGATTAAATCTTAATATCGAAAACACTTGTAACGCTGTTTCGACATGACTACATCTTTGTATGTATTCCCTCATCGTATTTATTTATATTTTATTATTAATATTTTGTCTGAATTTGACAGTTTTGTCATAATCATAAGTAAACAACGTATACTTTGTTAATAGGTTAACAAGAAGTGGTGTAAGGAGCAAACATAATTTATTGAATTTGTTTAAAATATAAAAAATAAATAATAAAATTACTTTATTCAATTTTAAATATATTATTTAAATTTTAAAAATACAGAAAACATAGTATGTTTTTTAATATACTTGTTATTTTTAAACGTTTTATTTAGTTTATATAATAATTAAATTTTATTAATTAATTATATTTTCATAATTTCATTTAAATACAATGTTGGATTTTTGCAATTATCAGTTCGACTATTGTATTAAAGTGCGATAAAAACAGTTATTAATAAAACATTTTCATATTTTTTATACAGTCACAGCGGAGGAGTCCATTTGTGTACCTAACGAAGGGGTTGCCATTGGGTATACCAAATGTAGCATGTAAAAAGATACACCAACAAAAACTGCTACTGAACAGAGATTTGATAGAAAATATTACGAAATTGTAAAGAGAATAGTAAAAACAGTAATTTTGTTGATTAATATAAAGCTTCTCGCTAGTCTACAGTACCGCGTTCTTCTTTTTCTTCAGCCTTAAGTAATCCAAGTTTGGGCATAGGCCTCCCCCAAATCAATCCCCTGTCTTCTATTTTGCGCCACTTGATTCCAGTTGTGTCCTCCGATCTTCTTAATGTCATCATCCCATCTCAGTTGTGGTCTTTCTCTGCTTCTCTTTCCTAACCATTGTCTCCATTTTTGTATTTCGTGGTTCCATCTTTTATCCATTAGTCGGGCATTGTGTCCTGCGAAGCTCCATTTTAATTTGGCAGCATGTTCCCCTGCGTCTTTTACTTTAGTTTTGCTTCTAATCTATTTGTTTGTTTTTTTTTGTCTATAAGTCTCACCCCGAGCATTGATCTTTCCATCGCTCTTTGTGCTTTTACTATTTTATCCATATTAGACTTGGTGAGTGTCCACGTCTGTGAAGCATACGTGTGCATAGGGAGGATACACTGATCGTAAATTTTGGTTTTCAAATATTGTTCTATTTTAGTGCTTTTCAAGATCAAACTCAGTTTTCCAAATCCCGCCCACGCTAACCTTATTCTTCTGGTAATTTCAGCAGTTTGATTTTCTTTGTTAACTTTCATTATCTGTCCCAGGTAGATGTATTCGCTTACTGTTTCTAAATTTATGTCGTTAAACTTTATTTCTCTAATGTTGAAATAATTGCGTCATCATGGTCTGTAGTTTTTCGAAACTTGTAGCGAATATTCTTGTAAATATTATGTATGAACATTCTGTATCGGGAGTCTATCCTGCAGTTGTTCATAGCTCTCTCTCTCTTGTCCAAACTTCTATGGGGTTGAATGCCTTTTCATAATCAACAAAGCCAATAAGTTCAAGTGATATTCATTGGCTTTTTCTATTAGCGTTCTGACTGTAAGAAGATGATCCGCTGTACTGTAACCCTTTCGGAATCCTGCCTGCTCTACCGGTTGATAGCTATCGAGCTTCGACATTAACCTGTTAGTTATTACTCTCATAAACAGTTTGTACATTTGGGACAGCAGGGAGATTGGCCTATATTTCTTCAGATCTCCCCTGCCTCCCTTTTTGAAGATAAGTATTATCAAACTTTTATTCCATTCGTCTGAGACTTCTCCTCTGTGAATTCTTCGAGAATAATTTCACTCCCCTCCTTCAACATTTCTACAAGTATTCCATCTGGGCCCGGAGCCTTATTGTTCTTTAGTTGTGCCATAGCTTGTTTTATTTCGAAGGATTCCATGTTAAGGAGTATTTCTGAGTTGACATTCGTTATCTTTTTCTCAAGATTTTCCTTTGCAGTGTTATCTGGGTTCTTGTTTGAGGAATATAAACCACGGTAAAATGTTTGAGTAACTTTTAGGATTTCGTTCTTTTCTCTTATTTTTTTCCATCTTTATCCTTCAATGAGATTAGTATAGGCTTTCCTAAGTTTGATCTTAGTATTTCAGGCCTCGGTACTTTTTATTATTTTTTTTTACCTTGTTTTCATTATAGATTCTTAAATCTTCCTTTACTCCCTTCTTTATTTGTTTATCAATTTCAATTCTTTGAAACCATTGGTGTTTCGCTTTCCTTCGCTTGTAAATGTGCGTCTCTTTTCCATCAACCGGTTTGTTCAATCACTTATTCTGTCTACTTTATTTTTCGTTTTCTTTGTAATACTCTTGAATACAAATTCTTTTCTTAATACTTCTATGTAGTCATCTCCCTTCTGTCGTATTTTAGTTTGATCTCTCTGATTACAATAATTATGTGGTCTGTAATGTTTATGGGATATAAATTTTGTGGTTCTAAGAAGTTATATAATTTTTTTCCTCTTTCATTTCGTGTGCCATGACCATGCATCCCTATTTTAGTTTCAGTACTTTCTTCTTTTTTGCGTTCTTCTCCTACTTTTGCGTTGAAATCTCCCATAATGATGGTATACTTTGTATCATTTTCTTCTAATGTTGTTATCAAATCTTCGTAGAATATTTTAACTACTTCTTCCTGATGTGTTTATTATCTAGGTTTTATTATCTAGGTCTATTATAATATAAGCTACTCTATCAGAAACGCTTGTATATGTAGAAATGTGTGGTGTAAGATACTTTTTGACAAGAAATCCTACACCATGTTTCGTCAATTTTCCCTGTATAGTATAAGCGATTTCCAGAGTTTGGGTGCATGCATTGTTCGCCTTTTCTTTTCACTTCTGACAGTACCACTTTATCTTGGACAGTTCTTCTTCTAATTCGTAGATCTTTTTATCTTTAGCCATAAATTGGATGTTGTATGTGGCTAGTATTAACTGTTTTTGTTTGTCCGTATCTATTTTCACCTCCCCCAGAATCTGTGAGGCTGACCAGTTTTCCGGTGTGGGATTCTGAGCTGCTAGCTCCCCACCTGGGGTATCGTCCCATTTTGTTTCAAGTTCAACATGTTGTGTTTTTAGGGGTATATTGGCATTAAAACACCACGCTTGCCAGACGGGTTCGCAGTCTCACAACCGGTTAAATCAGTATTTGAATTCGCCTGCGACTTTGTGGTACTGCACCTGTTAGGAATTGTATTTCTCAGCCACGGGCCACTAATAACAAAGCTGCTGACCTGTGTCATGTCCTCCGTTGATCTGCGGGTACTTATAAGGCAGTGCATTGGTATCGGTTTTTAATAGTGTGAACAATTTTTTTGTGGTTGAATTAAAAATAAAAGCGTATTCTTTAAAAAGATAAAACAAAAAATATACTCTTGAAAATAAAAAATAATTCCTAATAAAATAAGAAATAATTCTTTATACCCTAAAGAAATGATTCAAATATTTTACTTTCGATAAACGATTAGTATATATTTTTATGAAAGAGAAATATCGTAACCAAATATTATTCTGTTTTAGTATGAACATGCTAATGAGACACGGTTTGAGAACATTGATATTAACCAGTGGAACTTTGGCACCATTACGGCCGCTCATATCTGAATTGGAACTCCAAATTAACGTGAGACTAGAAAATCCGCATGTAATATCCAATGATCAGTTTTGTGTTAAAATTATACCAACAGGTCCTGATTCCGAAACTTTAAATAGTAATTTTCAAAATAGGTAAGAAACGTTTTTTTATATTTTTGTGAAATAATTGTGTAAACCGTGAAATTACAACATCTTCACCACCTTTTCTATCTAACCTGTCGATACCAACATTTTTTACATATTACGTTATTTGCGGGATATATGATATAACATTGGATCCAAAGTATTTATTAATAGTACTTATTAATAGTCCAGTTGACAGAGATTTGACATCTAAAAATCCTACGAACAAGCTGAATTTTGCTGAAAATGTCATGTACATGGATATACAGAGTTTCAAAACAAGTGGCATAACAACACATTTGGGATTAACGAGTTGGCCTTCTTTGAGAACGGACGTGTTTTACTTGAATTACAATATTATATGTTTTTGTTAAGTTGGCGATTAGCGTATGTTTTGTTCTGTGTAGTGACAAGAAACATTAATAGTTCAGTAGTAAGTAAATTTTTGTCGAAAAAATATTGGTATAATCTCTATAAAATAAATATCTTTATTATATTTCCAAGTGTTGCGATTTTGTCATCCAGAATCGCAATATGTATAATCAATCATTCGTAACCCCTGATTCCATCTCCAAAAATAAATCTCAATCTACCTCTTTACTACCACCCCAAAAACTTATCCCCTTCCACATGCAACAGTCAACGATCTTTGCAGCCGCTACTCTCTCAAAAACTCCGCTACACCTACTCCGTCACGTGATCATAATGCTCTCCGCTCCCAACACTGTTATTTTCGATTATATTAAAGCAATGGGTACAATTGTTATGCTAAAAAAATGTACACTTTGCTCCATGCGTTTTCCATTGTCGCATCTGTATATATCTATCTTCCTTTGAGCAAATTGTTAAACTCTTAAGAACCATTAAGTGTTACAATTACCTCTTAAGTTATCTCTATACGCAGACTTATTTTACATTTAAAATAATTTTAGTGTCTAATGTAAGTCCTTCTATCCCACATTCTGTTGTTGAAAAAGCTCTCTCTGATCTTGGATTAAATAGAATTACACCTCTCAAGCATAAATTTTTGCTCATATTTCTCATATTGATAGTATCGCTAATAATGTACAAAATTATACTGATAACTCTCAGAACCTTCCTACCACCTCTATATCTGCACAGTCACCGAAACCTGGTGACAAAAGACCTCATTCCAATAATAGTTACCTGTAAACTTCACCCCCTATCTTACCAGAAACCCTTAGTTTTTCCGATCCAAATACTCTAGCCCCTTTTGAAGCCATTACATCATAAATTATTCAAAGACCATCCAAAAAGAAAACTAAAAAATCCAAATCACAAGTACCTGAAACTCAAATAATAAGCAACATAACCCATTCAAAATTTATATGCTGAAATTGACATCTCATTCTCCCTTTAAGTAACGCAACTAATTGCTTTTCTTGGGGACACTTTCGGTAATTCTGATTAGCGTATGACTCTTTAGTGAAAGCGTACAAATTTACAACAGATATTTCCTCTCTTCTTTAAGATTTAAATAAGCTGTATAACGCTTATAATTAACGTTCCTTAAAAAATCGTTTAACTCATCTTCAAAACAAAATTAAATGCAAACCGGACCCCGCCTCTTACACATTTTCTGGAGATCTTACTAGGAATCTGGACTCCTCATTAATATTTCATTAATACCACTATATTATTTCATTTTTTCTTGCAAATAAAGCGTTCACTTCTGACTTTATCTGTTTTCAAGAGACTAATTTTAAAATAAATCATTTTGGTCGCTTTAAAAATTTTGACTGGTATTTATCATATGTACTAACTATTCCAGAACCAGTCGTGGTGCTTCGATATTTGCTTCAAGCGAAATATACTCCTCTCTTCTTCCTCTTACACTCCACTTGAAGCTGTAGCAATTACTGCATGGTGTCTTTATAATAAAATCTTTGATTTTGCTCCACATAATGTTCACTTTATCAGTGTTTTTCGTCTCTAATGTTAATCTTTTCATTTTTTGATTAATAGAAGTTGAAGCCTCAGCACTTATTTCATTTATCTTGAGTAACTGAGTATTCACCTTAGAACTTTTGGATTTTATTATCTTTTTTACCGTTAGTTTCATTTTTGAGACAAGGAGGTTATGGTCTGATGGGACCAGGGATCTGCTCCAGTGTAAGCCTTAACTCTTATAATGGAATTTCTAAATCTTTGATTGGTTAGTATAAAGTTGATTTGATTTCTAATGCAATTTTGTTTATTATCCTGTGGCGACCTTCCTAATCCCAGAAATGTTTTGTACGCGAACCGATCTCTACAGTAATAATAGAAATGTTTACTAATATAATACTTAAAATTGTTTTATTATAAGTTACGTCATTATTTTACAGGATTTAATAATTTTACCGTTATATTATTTATATGATCAAAGAAAGGATATTTCGTAAAATTTTGTTTTCTTATTGAAACATTTAATTTTTAGAGACAATCCTAAATATATAAATTCTCTTGGCATGACAATAATGAATATAGCTAGAATAGTCCCCGATGGTATGTTGATATTTTTTCCATCATATCCTATTATGTTGAAATGTCAACAGATGTGGCAGCAGAGCGGAGTTTGGAATAGCATATGTAACCAGAAGGTATGAACCTCATTTAAATCGTTAGGTTAGTACAGTTATAACTCTATTCTTGTTTTAGGCAATTTTTGTAGAACCGAGAGATAAAAACTCATTTAACACAGCCATGACTGAGTATTATGCAAAAGTAAAAGATCCCGCATATAAGGGAGCAATTTTTATGGGTGTTTGTAGAGGAAAGGTTTCTGAAGGATTAGATTTTGTTGACGCCAACGGTAGAGCAGTGTTGATCACTGGTCTGCCTTATCCGCCTTTCAAAGATCCAAAAGTATCGTTAAAGAAGCTCTACCTAGATAGGTGTAATGCAGATGATAAGGGAGTAAGTAACAAATATATGTTGCAGTTTTTAAGCCAATTTACAGGGTGTTTCAAGTTGTTCGCGCATTAGACTTATTTCTGAAAATATCGGATTTGTCCTCTGAAAATTTGCACATCTGCATAATTCTAGCTGATTTTCTTCTTCTTTAAATGGTATTGCTCTTCAAATTAAACTCTCGACCCGTAATTTCTGTCTCTAACATTGTCTGTTCCGTCTGCCATTCACCAAGTTCTTTGTATCAAAACAAAATTTAGGATCTTTTCAAAAACCTTTGCCAGGTTTTGGCACCATTGTCATTTATTTCTTATGTTTAAAAAGCATCACTACTCAAGAGAGATCCCATTTAGTGGAAACATTCACAATTTTTCCTTTTTTCTATAAAATTTAAAAAGTTACAAAAACTTCTTCGAAAAAATACATAAAAGACGGAAAATTGGACTCCACAAAAAACATATTCAAACATTTGTTTATGACATGGGTGTAAGAAACTGACCATTTGATTATAGTTGAGGTGTATTTTTTGGCATCATAGTCATTTGTTTCTTCTATAGTATTTTTCAGAGCTTGGCATCGATTACTGGTAGTGGGTGGTTAATTCAGCCATTAGTCTTTTAAAGTTGTTTGTTTTGTAATTTTATTGTCTGGACTATCATCATTTCGTGATCTTGTACTGTATTGTTGTCCATTCCTCCTGATAATTCTGCATATTAGATGATTATGACGGTTGTTGTAAGTGTTGGCGATTGTACATAAGTAATAGATTGTGAATATTGTACTAGTAATGTAGGATAGTAAGCATTTTGATATATCATACCTTGAGATTATCACTGTCCAGCGGCTGGCATCTGATTTTGGTACTTTGGGATGAGTGGGTTTGATGCATTTTGGACTGCAGTATATTGAGCAGAATTATCCATAATTTATAATACTTCTTGTCACATAAACTTGTGAGCTCCCGGCACTAATTTATGCGTTGCCTGGACTATTTATTAAACTGTTATTTTAGTTTTTATCAGGTCTTTCTTGTTTTGTTTATTTTTTTTTGTTGTCTTTGTCCCGCGCCAAACACTGCTTTCCACCTAAACGGTTCAGAGAAAACAGTGTCTACGATGTCAATAACAACGACCACCTACGAAGTAATGGCGCCTGAGAAATTACGCTCACAGTGGAAACGTTGAATCGGCCAAGAATTCGCTGTCTGTTTTGGTTCTTATCAGTTAACCTCATTTATTTGTTTGGTTTGGTTTCTATAGTTCTTACCTGATTCACCTGTTTATTGTCAACTTTTGTATCAATGCCGATTAGTTTTTAACTAAATTTGTCACAGTGACTAGCTTTGACTATTAATTTTTTGCTGGAACGCTCGTTATATCGGGCTTTTTGTCTCTGAAAATCAACAACGTATTTGCTCACTCTTCCCTGTTATCACTGGTAGTTGTATAAACATTGATACCACTTTTTGAGATGGGAGACCTACATATCCACCCTTCCATGCATACAGAAAGGTACCCTGCTGCCAGGATATTATAGCATACACCATCTTTTTATAAATCAATTGAAACAATCTAAAAAGGCGTAGGTTATTGTCTAATGCGTCCATTAGTTCCTTGTTCAGGATATCAAAATGCGTATCTCTATTCAAAGAGTCGTTATAAATGAAAACTCGTAAAATGTTTGTTATCTTTAATGGTACAGTATACGTTAAAACACCAGAATTCTTGATATCGTGTTTGTTCAATAATGTAAAGATTTTCGTTGAACCAATATTGATACATGGAACGATAAAACTGATTAAACCCTGTTTAATTCTCTTGAATCCTTGTTCGTGGTATTTTGCTTTAGTAAATACGCACCTTTAGATAAAGTGATAAAAATAACTTCATGCAGTAATTATATATAATGTTTTTAGTATCTTAGAGGACAAGAGTGGTATAATTTGGAAGCGTCTAGAGCGGTAAACCAGGCTATTGGCAGAGTAATACGACATAAGGACGATTATGGCGCTATACTTTTGCTCGATTCAAGGTTTAATAGTAAAATTATAAAGGATCAAATGTCTCTATGGGTTAGAAACCATATCAGAGTATCTAATAATTTTGGCGAACTAGTAAGAGACTTAAGACAGTTTTTCAAAAATGCCGACTCTAAGGTAATATTTATGTTTATATTAATGTACTTAGTTTTATATTATTTTATATATTTTATTTTATTTTATTTACATTTTACATGACGGCGACATATATCGGGGATCGGCGACGTGGAAATATCAGGCGACATCTAGTGCCCCCTTAAAAGAAAAGGGACATATAATATCATATCATGGATTAGATTTGCTTTGACTGAAAATGAATTTCAGCAAAACTAAACTAATGTCAAACAAAGATGACAATCCTATGATAAACATCGAAGGGACAGAGAAGAGATAGAACACGTAGATGAACATACATATCAAGGTAAGCATACATACACGTCAATAACATACACGTCAAGGTAAGCAAAGAAAATCAGACTACCGAAACAAGCAGACTTGTAAAAATGGTGTGGGGAGCATTTGGGACTCTTCCAAACGTCATACATACTTAAAAATAGAAATATACTGCGAACCAAAGTGTTTAATTCCTGTATCCTACCTCTACTTACATATGGAGCTCAAACCTGGACATTTACTAAAATAATAATAAAATAAACATGGCGAAGATCAGAAAAATGCAACGGCTGATGCTGGATATCTCACTCAAAGACCATAAAACCAATGAAGACATTCGTAATAGAACAAAAGTAAAAGATGCTGTCGAACAGGCAGCTAAACTGAAATGGAAAGGTGCTGGACATAACGAACGTCTTAAGGATGGCCGATGGAATAACAAAATCGGGAATTGGCGGCCATATGAAGCCAAAAGACCACGAGGAAGACCGCAAATGCGCTGGAGCGACGATATTAAAAGAACTGCAGGACCAATGTGGAAACGTCTTACAAACAACAGAGATGAATGACGAGAATTAGGAGAGGCCTATATACGGCAATCCGAATAGAGAGAAGGGCTCTATTACTCTAGAAGGTCTCACTGCCTCACTTCTTTTGCGAGGCCATCCGAAAATAACTGAAATTTTCATTTGTCGCTGAGCTTGGTTGTTTAACTTCGAACGACGCCTTAATTATGCCAAACGTACTATAGTTATAGTATTTGTACGATAATTACAACTTTTGTTTTATTAATATGTATACCTATTTAGGTATAACAACAAGTGTTTTTTATTTGCAGTATTCACGTAACTAATAATAGATGAAAGAGATTCTGAACAGGGCTAGAGTTCATCAACTAATCTAAAAAAGAAATCATCTAAAAAAGAAAATTGGTATCAAGAGAATCTAAAAATATCGCAAAGAATGAGAATCAACTTTTAAATGCGTTTTTAGTAATAAAGATACCAAAATAAAGACAAAGGTAAAGTTTGTTATAGTTCACTGAAATCGGTGATTCAGGTATTCTTCATGAAAATAGTGCAAAACATAAACAAATGATAACATGTCACACTCACAGTTGTCAAGTATCATTAGTAAAGTTAACTTTAATTAAAACAAAACAAAGAAATAGAGTAATTACTGATACTGTCAACGAAGTATATGGTTGTTTACGGTTCGGGCGCTTGCATATTACTGGGGCCGTATTTTCGAAACCGTTCGAACGGAAGTCGTATGTGAAAGATGATGAATTTCGAACGAAAATCGATAATTCGTATTTTCGAGTTGATTTCGAACGCATCGTATACGACGATTTTCGTACACGACTGCTCGAGTGGGTATTCACCATTCGAATAGCGGTAAACACACGGAGTTTGACATTTCTGACTTTTGCATTTAGTTTGGTTTTTAATTGTTTACATAAGTGAGATGGCCTGCCTAAATTTTTTAATTGAAAGAAATGTTTTAAATGCCTTAGAAGATGCAGAAATGTTAGCGAATGTGGAGAATAGAGTATACCATGCATTTTTAAACCCTCTTGAAGCCTTATCAGACAAACAATTTGGGCTTGGACAAACATTACAAGGGGCTATTTTTTACTTTTTATGCATGTTACAATAGGTATCAAGTTATACTCATCTACATTTTGCTTTCGTTACTTACCTTACGCCATTGTTTCCACTCTTTCTTTGCTCCTGGCAAAGCATTTAATATTTGGCCTAATTTCTGCCACATTGTTTGGGCAGTTTTATATGTAAAATTGTTTGTAAATTTCCCACTTTTTAAATCGGGATTTTCTTCCATAAAATCTATCATTTCTTTTTTTTTGTTAGGAAGATACAAATCCTAAGAACATAAAATTTTTATTTTCTTTGTTCATATTGGAAACAGAGGAAACAGATAAGTACGAAAACACAAGCCAAAACACGTTAACACTGTGTAGAAAATTGAGCAAATCACAGAAAACTAAAACTTCAAGTCTGCTGAAACACAACAAGTAAAATAAACTTGTCAGTCAAATAAATGTCGCATGTCACCTCTACCTCTTTTTTTTCTTAATTTCGTGCGAATTTGCGGCGTTGCCGGTGATTTTGGGTTAACGGATTCTCGTATGCGAATTAAACTTTCGAATTGCGTTCGAAAATACGCTTTTACGTTCGTGCACGATTTTTTTTTCGTTCGAACTAATCGCATGCGAGTAAATTCGAACACATTCAAAAATACGACACCTGACTATTGACTCCACCCTTTATCGTTGAAGTGACCTTGAACGTTCAGCTATATCTGTTGAGTCATACACAGTCGATGCATTTACACGTACAAAAAAAGTCAGAAGATTCTAACAGAGACGAGGATGATAATATTGCACTTGATTTTAATTTCGGCTAATAGTTTATATACATTTTATTAAGTTTTAAAAATTTGCTTTTATTTTTTTTTACTATTGTTAAAATTTTATGCATTCAGAGTTTCGATTTTCATAAATTTCTTATATCTTGTCATATATTTTTTTCCAATTTACTATAATAATCGCGAAAATAATTTTTCTCCCGAAAGCTAATAGATGATACGTAAAAATATGCGAGTTCCAAGTACATCCATAGCCCAACGATTATAAATGATTACTCTGACTTACTGACTGCCGATATCGCTCATGGTAATCATATGGTACAAAGAATAACAGGTATGATACTGCGCAGGCCACTGTCAGCAGATCCCCTAATCTTGACGTCACAATGAAAGTTGCCGTCATTGTAATATATCTGTTTATAATGGGAATTTTATTTAGCTTCTTCTTCTTTGGTAAGCTTGTTGTAGATTTTATAATGTTTTGTGAGATTTAAGTTTGCTTTTTAGTGTAAAAAAGTCTTATTAGGAATATTTTGAAGTTATGCGATTTTATAAGTGATAGTGGCTTTGTAGGTATGCCTATTTTGTACTTTATATGGACAATATTTTGGTATTTTAAAAGTTATATTATTAATATTAACGAAAACGAAGTATGGAGATCCATGAATTCTACCAACTGTTCAAAGAGATACCGATCTCAAAATTCGTTAAACTTCAGAGATTTCCATGAGCTCTGTTTTATTTTTGCTTCATTTGTATATATATACACAGGTAGCATCTGTTTAAACAATTTTTTTTATGATACATTAATAAAAATGAACTTCACAACAATATAATTTTGTTATTAGATTTAGTTTGTAGAATTGGATTCAATTGAAATTGAATTTATTTCATATAAAAAGTATCTTTTTTTTTTTCAAATCACTAAATTCTTAAATACTCACTAAATTTTCATCATATAATTCTAAATCCATTTTATTAATTGTATAGTTAATAATTATAGTTAATAGCAGTGTCAGTACCATCTTCTTCAAGATTAATAATATTGCCTTGTGAATTTTTGCAAGTTTGCCATTGCAAGTGACATTTCCGTTTCATGATCTTGAGAAATTCTGAGTATTTATACACATTAAAGAATTTTTTTTATTTATTTTTTTTTTTTAGTTTTTATCCGACTAATATTTAATTAACTGCTTGAAAATAGGTTATATTTGACGTTTCGATTTTCTTCTTAGAAATAGTTCTCAAAATACGATTCCCAAGGTGAAAATTGAAACTTTAAAATAAACGTATTTTCAATTAAAATTTGTTTATATTGGATAATATAGAAATCCCACAAGAAAATAGTTCCAAGATACCATTCTGTTCCGTTGTTCTATTATTTTTTTAGTTTCATGCAATTATCAAGAATAACCACTATTTTTGTTTTTAGTATAAATCTGTGATTGAGGCAAAATCGTTAGCACCTCCTTCAGCTGAATTTAACACTTACTTGAATTATAAGTCTGGCGGTTTGAGTGCCTCAACATCGTCATCATCTGACAATTTGGATAGCACAGGAGAAGTTGTTATTCATAATCGAACATCAACAGAAAACCGAAAACAACCTTCGAAAAAAATAAAATTGACTGTTGTACCAAACTCTTCAAAGTCGACGAAGACAGAGAAAGGCGATGTTACGAAAGAGTATATTATTATGGTAGTTATAACAATGATTAGTTATTATTTTTACTACAAGTATTATCTCTCTGGTTAGCATTATTAAAGTTCACTTGTACAGGATATCTCAAAATGTATGCTTATATGTTTAAGATTTGGTTCAGGGACCTCCTACATATTCAAAATGACTAAAATTTCCCTATTACTGTTAACCTAATCTAATTTACGATCCTTGATAATGGAAATTATTAATAATAATTGAGAGTGTATAATTGTTAAAACGGGATCCACCTTAACGGGTACCTTCTTCTCTTCTTTTTATGCAGACATGACTCTGTTTGTTTTTCAATGTGCCTCCAGTAAGTTGTCATTCCATCGTTTACGTATGTAATATGTTTAAGATTTGGTTCAGGGACCTACTACATATTCAAAATGACTAAAAATTCCCTATTACTGTTAACCTAATCTAATTTACGATCCTTGATAATGGAAATTATTAATAATAATTGAGAGCGTACAATTGTTAAAACGGGATCCACCTTAACGAGTTCCTTCTTCTCTTCTTTTTATGCAGACAAGACTCTGTTTGTTTTTCAATGTGCCTCCAGTAAGTTGTCATTCCATCGCGTACGTCGTCTTCCTACTTATCGTCTTCCTACTTATCGTCTTCCTATTGGGGAACCGTCCCTTGCCGTCTTTACTACTCTATTTGATGTCATTCGGCTTATATGATCGTTACATTCTATTATTATATTTCTTACCTAGTCCTTAATATACTCTACCTTGCATCTACGTTGTATATCTGTACTTTTAGCTCTGTCCCATAGTGTTTTACTATCAATTTTTCCAAGTGTTTTCATCTAATCTGTTTCGAAAATCCTTTTTGTCCTCTCTGTGTCAGGCTGTGTTTCTGCCGCTCATGTCATTATTGGTCTGATGACTGTTTGTAAATTCTGCCTTTTTTCCGATATTTTTATTTCTTCATATTGTTTCATTCAGGCAACCTGCGACTCTATTTGCTCTTTTCACTTGATATTCCAGTTTCGAGCTTTTCGTAGCTAGATATTTGAACCCCATCACTTGTTCTATTATCTGACCTTCCAGTTCCAATTTACATTTTTGGGAAAATTAGCATGATACATTTTCTGGCGGTTATATTAAATTGGTGCAGCATACGTTGTAAATCATCTTCACTTTGAGATACATACCGCAAGGTCTGGTATCCCGATATAGTTTTAGTGTTCTTTTTCGATAGTCTATCAGGTATTCTTGTGCAGTGTTTTATATATTCTGTCTTCCAGTGATTTTGTTGGATCATTTTTTAACTTTTGTGTAAGGTCTATTTGTAACCAATTCTTGAATTTTCTTCTGATATTGACTTTTGTCCATAATTACAGTGGCGGTACCGTTGTCAGCTGGTAATATTTTCTTTTAGAACTTTGATAGCTTTGAGTTCCTCTTTACTAACATTTGATTTTCGTATAGCAACCAACAAAATCATCATAGCCAGAATGATCGCCAACGTTCGGAACGGACAGGCACCCTAAGAAGAAGAAGAACATTTGATTTTGTGCTTTTCTCCAGTTGCTTTTTGCACTTTACGCTACAACATAAAATCTATTTAAAAATTTCTTTATAAAAGATATAAAAATTAAAAACCTATCAGGGTACATCACAGAACGTTTTCGGAATAACTATTTCATCATCACTGCTATCCTAAAAATTATAACCACTTTATTTAAATTAAACGTTTTAGGATAGCATTGATGATGAAATAGTTATTCCGAAAACGTTCTGTGATGTAGCCCGATAGGGTTTTTATTAAAATACCTTTTATGTAGGAATTTTTATATATTTTTTTGGTGATACATGGTATACTTCCAACTACAGGAATTTAGTTACCTTGTGGACTATATATTCCCCCTTTTCGTGTTTTGGTAGTTCTCGACAAACGTTTTCAACTGCACTGATTTTGTCTACTTTAGGAACTCTGTTCTTTAGTTTCTCTGTTGCATTTAACTATCTCTATATCTCTGATAGATTGACAATCACAATAGTTGTGTTGATTATATTTTGCCTTATTTGATGTTTTCTAAACATCAGTGACACCACAATTAATCCATTTTCTTGCAGCTCTTTGGTGGTGTTTTCTTCTTCTTACTTACCTCAGGCAAGATATTACTTTATACAAGTCTGGCACCCTGGAATTTGAATATTAATAATTATTACTATGCTTATGTTCTTCTTTAAGAGCCGTCTCCCAATCGGAGGTGGGATATCATCATCACTATTTTTACTTTATCTACTGCTGCTCTAAAGAGTTCTATAGAACTGCATTTAAACTAGTCTCTTAAATTCTTCAACCGTGACACTCTCCTTCTTCCTATACTCCTTCCTCCTTCTTCTTGTATTATATCTTTTCCTGTATTATTTCTTTGCCCATTTCTCGCAATACTTCCGTGTTAGTTTTCTTCTGTGTCCATGCTATTCTAAGCATCCTCCTGTAACACCACATTTCAAAGGACTGTAACTTATTTATGTGTTCTTGCTTCAATGTCCAGCTTTCAAGTCCATATTGCAGTATCGAAAACACGTAGCATATCAGTGCTCTTAGTCTGAGTTCTAATCTAAGATCTTTGTTGCAGAGAATTGTTTTCATTTTTACAAACGCATTTCTTGCTATTTTTATCCTAGCTCTCATTTCGGTTGTTTGATCATTATTGTCTGAAATCCAGGTTCCTAGGTATTTGTATTTATTAATCCTTTCTATCGGTACGTTTCCCAAATGTATGTTTCTTGGTATATTCGTTTTCTTTGTTATTATCATGTATTTGGTCTTTTTTGTATTCATTTTTAGTCCATATTTTTCACAAAAACTATTTGTTTTGTTTAGCTGTAATTGGAGTTGTTCAGCAGAGCTTGCCATAATCACGTTGTCATCTGCATATCTTATGCTGTTAATAGATCTTCTGTTAATTATTATTCCTTCACTTTGAGATAGTAATGCTTCTTCAAAAATGGCTTCACTATATACATTAAATAGTAATGGGGACATAATACATCCCTGCCTAACTCCTCTCCTGATTTCAATTTCTGGACTGGGTTCGTTATCTATTACGATTTGTGCTCTTTGATTCCAGTATAGGTTTGTTATTGTTCGTAAGTCCCTGTGGTCTATGTTTTTTGTCTTTAGAATTTGGACTAATTTTTCATGTTTTACTTTGTCAAATGCTTTTTCAAAATCAACGTAACAAACAATCACATCAACATTCATATCCATGCATCTTTGAGCTAACACATTAAAAGCAAATAACGCTTCTCTGTTTCCTAGTCCGTTTCTGAACCCAAACTGACTATCATCTATTCCTTCTTCCAGTTTTTTATTTATACGACCATGTATTATTTTCAGAAATAATTTGAGAATGTGACTTATTAGTGATATTGTTCTGTATTCACTGCAATATTTAGCGTTTGTATTTTTAGGGATAGCACAAAAGGTGGAGAGTAACCATTGTTTCGGTACGCGTCCTGTTTTGTATACTGAGTTAAATATAGTAGTTGTCAGTTAATTCTTTAATTTTTGTATGTGTCTTAAAACTATCATGTCTTTTCTGGTATTTTTCTATTTCTGCGCATTGTTCTTTTAGCCATTTTTATTTCGCTTTCTTAATTCTGTATTTTATTTGTTTATCCACTTTTTGTACATCTGATTATCTTTGTTCTTATATTGAGGTCTTTCTTCCATTAAATCTAAAATTTCTTCCGTCATCCATTGCTTCTTTTTATATCTGGTTTGTATTAGATTTTCTTTTTGACTTTAATCTATTTCTGTCTTTATTAATAACCATTTTTTCTCCGTCTCAGTATTTTGCAGAATTTGTTCTTTAACACTCCGTTGTTGATTGCATCTGCCAGGCATTGCCTTGTGAATGGGTTCCTTAATTTACTTGTATCGATTTTTGCATTTGTTGTTCTTCGCTTTATTATTTTCATTTTGAGCCTAATTTTGGTCACTACGGGGTTGTGTGATCCTATGTCGGCACTTGGATAAGTTTTTGCGGATATAATTGCGTTCCTGTATCTTTGTCTAACTAATACATAGTCTATTTGTTTTCTTACAATTCTCTCTTCTTGATCTGCTGGTGACTTCCCGGTATACAGTCTTCTCTTTTTCATTTTGAACAATGTATTACAAAATTATTGTTTTGGCAAAATTCGATAAGCCTGTCACCCCTGTCGATTTTGTTACCCAGACCATATCCTCCTGTACATTCTTCTACTTTTTCTTCCCCAACCTTTGCGTTAAAGTCTCCCATTATAATTGTTAAATATTGCGTCTTAATGGATTTTAAAATGTTGTCTAGGTTTTCGTAGAAAGTTTCAATATAACTCTCTGTCTGCAGTTGGAGCATAAACTTGTAGGATGTTTATTTTGGGTTTGTTCTGGTTTAATTGTAAGAGTATAATTCTGTTTCAGTATGGAGTAAAATTTATTACAGCTTCATCAATGTTTTTGTTTAATAACCCAATACAATTGACTAATATAGCAACATTACAATCTAATTTAAACTGTTTGCTACAATTTTTGAAATATTTTTGGTGCTGGGTGTGGGTCGAACTAACTACCACTCACAATGAAGCAAGAGCTTCCAAATCGCTCAGCTACCGAGTCGATTAAATCAATTTTTGATATTTCGATTAAATATTTTTCGATTTCAGCTCTTGAACCGAGCTTCAAAGGCATAGGCATTAATTCTGAGATATCCCGTATGACGCCAAAACTAAATTTATTAACCTATCGATTAGGAACGTTTTTATATCTGCTTATATAAATATTAAATCTTTTTCTTATTTAAAAATTAAATAATATCGTCAAATATTTATTTTTTATCATTTCATATTATAATCAATTAATCAAAAACTATATAATTAATAAAACTTACTACGAAGTAAAAACTTCTTGAGCAAAATGGTAGAAAATTGATTAAACATTTAAAAAAATATCCAAAATGGGTTTATACATTTTCAGAAAGTTTTCAG